CACACACCCAGAAAAATAAGCCACCTGAAAAATGAGCTGATCCACATCGAGCTCTTTAATTACTGACATCAGCTGTGAGGCGCGAGAAGGATCCTTTCTGATATGGCAACTCTTTAAAGTTGGTATGAATGGGTAGGCTGAGATCCCAACAAGCCATTTGCCGGCGTATTTGGCTGGTGGCAGGAGCGCCAGCCTAACCCAGGCCGGTCTGCCCTAGAACCGAACCTAATTCCGCACCCCCGCACATCGTGTCTCAAGCGATCTCATACCGCGATCATGGCTGGATCCACAGTTAAGGCCCAGTATATCTCTACGCAAACTATTGGGTGGCATCTCCAGCCAGGTCACTTGAAATCCATTTTTGCTTAAGGAAAAGGGAGGTTAGTGAGATGGACAGAGAATTTACACAGCCCACTCAAGAAGAAGAGAGACAGGGCCTCTTCAAAACACAGTCACATCCCATGCATCAAGCATATCATTAAAGTAAACATGTCCTCTCTGGCACTGCACACCTACTAGCCTTTCTTAATTCTGGTTCGATTCCTGAGAAGATTTTTTGGTTTTTGCCTAAATAACAGTTGTTTAGGCAAAACGAAGATACCGTTGATCATATCCCAACATTAACATTAAAGCAGAAACTACAGCCTAAGTTATCAGTGAATTATTAAAAATATTCTCATCTCTTCATTTTCCTGATTGGGTTAACTGGAAGAGGTTTATTATTACTGTGATGGTGGTGGTTGTGTTTGACAACCTAAAATTGTATGTGTATCCTCACTTCAAACATTTGATGGTTTGATGTTAATTTTGAAAAAAAGTTTATTCATATCCTGAATAAAACATACAGCAGGGCACCATAATATTTCTCACATAGCAAATGCAAGGTAAACCAGGGATTTGATTTAAAAGGCCAGAAAATATCACTTTAATATGAGACTAAATATGAGATCATGCGTGTCACAATGGAATATTTTTAGCAATCCTATACATTTTAGATACATGTATACATATATAGACAGACACAGACATAGACATACCTATACAGCATCAAAAAATCCCTTTGAACTAGAGAAAAATGAATTTAAAGGCTAGTAATATGTGAGATTTACTCCTAGGAAGTGCTTTTTTATTTTAAAGGGCTGTCTAACTGGTAGCCAGAAGGAATCAACCCTGTTTACTCAGTGTGTATTCTGGGAGAAAAAAGAAAGGGAATGGGACATTTATGGGGACCAAAGAGAAGGCAGCACCGTGTGTGCCGCCAACGCAGGTCCGTGCAGGGAGGGGAGTCATTTTCCTGCCAGAGACAAGAACGAAGGTTTAATCTGACCACAGCTCCGTCATGCTCACACTTGGCACTTGAAGACGTTCTCACTACTCTTAATTTTCTAATTAATTAGACAGATAAATATTTGTCAGTGTTCTGTGAGTATTAAATGCAACGCTGTATGTGAAAATATCTTTATGATTCCCCAATTTTAATTTTATTCATCGACACAAAATTGAATTTTATGGATGGCTGGGGAAAAAAAAGAAATTCGGACCGTGGTCAGGCTCCCACTCATCTCCATACTGTCAGCTGTTCTCCTACAATGACATGCCACATTATTATTAAATAACTCCCTAAGGTATGCAAGTTGGAAAACAGCAAGATACCAAGTCTGTCTTTGAGGTGTTGCTTTGTTTGCTTTGATTTCTTAAGAATAATATGAGTTCTCCAGACTTTCATGCAGCTGAAGGCCCAGCCTATCCTAGTACAAAGAGAAGACACAGGTTAACGAGGGATAACGATTATAAAAGGTAGGTTACTACTGTGTGTTAAGTAACATAGTTGGCAGTAACCAATTTTCTTCCCAAACTGAAAACCACTTTATACCTTGCTGGCAATAAGCGGAAGCAGGACTGATTTTACATGACACACATTGTCAAACAGGGACTGTCCTGTGCCCACTCCCAACCCTGATTAGCTGTCCCTGTGGAGATTTAAAAAAAGGAGCGAAGCTGACTCACCAAGAAAAGGTCAGGAAACCGTCATAAGAAAAGGCCTATATAGGGAAGAAAGATCAGTGTGTCTTATTCAGTCAAGAGGCAGTAATCAAAGGTGTCCTGTCATATAAAATCAATGTGCAAAAGACAGTCTCGTTTCTATATACCAACAATAAACAAACAGAATTCCAAATAAAAAGCACAATCCCATTCACAATAGCCAGAAAAAAATCAAATACCTTGGCTTCTTTCTAATCAGAGACATGAAAGATCTTTACAATAAAAACTACAAAACACTGCTCAAAGAAATAAAAGATGATACAAACAAATGGAAAAATATTCCATGCTCATGGCTTGGAAGAATCAACAACATCAAGATGTCCATCCCACCCAAGGCAATCTACAGATTTAATGCAATATTCATTAAATTACCAGTAGCATTATTCTCAGACCTAAAAATGACAATACAGGAATTCATATGGAAACATAAGTGACCACAAATCGCCAAAACAATCCTCAGCAACAACAACAAAAAAAAAAGCAGGAGGCATCACACTCTCAGACTTTAAACTTTATTATAAAGCTACAATAATCAAAACGGCCTGATATTGGTACAAGAACAGGCATATAGACCAATGGAACAGGATAGAGATTCCAGAAGCAAAACCTCAATTTCTCAACCAACTCATCTTCAACAAAGCCTCTACCACCAACCACTTGGGAAAGGAGAACCTATTCAGTAAATGGTGCTGGGAAAACTGGCTGACCACATGCAGAAGATTAAAACAAGACCCCTATCTATCCCCATACACAAAAATCAACTCTAAATGGATCCAAGACCTAAACATAAAACCTCAAACTATACGAACCTTAGAAAGTGCAGGAGACACCGTTATGGAAATTGGAACTGTCAACCAATTCCTGATCAAAACCCCAAGTGCCCATGCCACAAGAGATAAGCTAGACAAGTAGGACTTCATCAATTGACAAACTTCTGCAAAGCTGAAAAAAAAAAAAAACCATCAAGAGAGCAGAGAGACAGCCCACAGAATGGGAAAAAATATTTGCCAACAGTATGTCTGACCAAAGGCCTAACATCTAGGATCTACAAGGAACTCAAATGTGCTGAAAAGGAAAAAAAACAAACAGCCCCATTACAAAGTGGGCAAAAGATATGAATAGACACTTCTCCAAAGAAGACATACGAGCAGCCAAGAGATACATGAAAAAATGCTCAGCCTCACTAGTCATCAAAGAAATACAAATTAAAACTACACTGAGACACCACCTAACTCCAGTCAGGATGGCCATCATCAATAACTCAAAAAACCACAGATGCTTGAGAGTATGCAGCAAAAAGGGAACACTTCTACACTGTGGGTGGGAATGTAAACTAGTACAGCCTCTGCGGAAAACAGCGTGGCGATTCCTAAAAGATCTAAAAATCGACCAGCCATACAACCCTGCAATCCCCCTACTGGGAATATACCCGGAAGAACTCAAATCACTTAATAAAAAAGACACTTGCACACGTATGTTTATCGCAGCCTTGTTCACAACAGCAAAACGATGGAATCAACTATGCTGCCCATCAAAAGAGGACGGGATTTTAAAAAAATGTGGTATATATACCTGATGGAATATTACGCAGCCACAAAGAACAAAATCATGAACTTCACAGTAACCTGGACAGACTTAAGAGTCTATAATACTGAGTAATATATCACAGAAACAAAGAACCAAATGTCACATGTTCTCAGTCATAAGCAGACCTTGAACAACTATCATAATACTATAAGAAAAGGATTGGCGGTAGTGGAATCTACCTGGGGAAGGGGAAACACACCTCATCCACAAGGGTACCTGCATAATGAAGACTTGTGTACCTAACCCTGACTTGTATCCCACATCTTAAAAAAAAAAAAGATGTCCTGTCACCTGGAGAAGGACCCATGTGAAGGGGTTGTCAGTCAGCAACTTAGGTTGCCTAAAGATGCAGTCAGAAATGACTGTCAAGTAGAGATCTGGGTGATTTTGACTTTATTCGATCTTTTTTAAAAAGTCTGACTCCTTGGCCTGACAAATAGAAACCTTGAGGACAAAGGTACAATTTGGTATTTTTAAAACAAGTAATATGTTTGGTGGTTAAGGCTAGAAAACACAATTGTGAACTTGCAAGTTTCTAAAATTCATGTTGAAAATACAGAGAATAAATATTGAATAGTATCACTCAAGAATTAACTTACAAATCTTCTCAAAATCAATTTCATGACTGTCATACACGAAGTGGCATAAAGCAAAGTAGAAAGAGCAGAAAATTCTAGAAGTTACAAAGAAATTGACAATAGCAGGTTTATGAAATGCCGCTCATATCACTCATTTTCCATTTTATAATTCCCAACCCATTAAATATTATTCAAAAGAAGATGCACCCTTTCTACATAAGTTCCATGTGACAGTCTCTCCCACCAAAAACAAACCAGAAAACCAACTAAGGCTAAAGAAGAGTAATTCACAACAGTGATTTTCATATCCTAGATATCAAAAAACATGATTGACTTGTCAACAGTTGTTTAGGCAAAATTAAGATACTGCTGATCATATCCCAAATTCCCTAGGTTAAAAATGGAATAATGAAGTAAATATTTAGCTAATTTATTAATATATATATAAAAAGAGAGGCAAAAACAAGCTCAAACAGCTTACTATTAAAATCCAAACAGTATTTCCTGTTGTAGTTTTTAAGATTAAAACTCTCAGTTCATCACCTAGAGCTATGGTTAACAAGTAAACACTGTGCCAAGTATTATAAACTCTAATACAACTACTAAAAGTCTGAAGTTCTTCAGTTTTTCTCCTATAATCCTTTTTTGAGTGTTTGCATGCTTGTGCTCAAAAACTATAATCTTTTGTTGTTGTTGTTGTTGCTATTCTGTAATAACTTTCATTATTCTAACACATCAGAGGAGAAGTCAGACATAGAAGACCAAGAAACTGGGTAATTCTTACATCCTTACCTGCAGGCCTTCAATAGCTAATCGCAGCATGCTTGGTGTAAGTTTAGAGGCTTGCTTGAAGGTGAAGTTACTCCAGTCTATGATCAAAACAAACCCATTCACTTGAAGTTCAGGATCTTCGATCATGGCTTCCAAAGAAAGTAAGATGGCACGCAAAATATCCACCAGTGTGTACCTACCCACAACAGAAAAATACAGAATTAAATTCGACAACCACTTTTACAAAAACCATAGGAAGTACTTCGGCACACTAAAAATTCCCTTTAAAATGCCTCAGGAATCTTAAGGAAATTATCTTGCTTAAAACCTTATTTTAAGAAGAGGCTTGCTTTAGATGTGCTCTGGGGACATCGTAGAATTTAACATGTATTCAACGCGAACAAATGACAATGATTTTGAAAACAGTTTGTTTCATATTTTTAAAATCATTTGACTTATCCCCAGGCCTTTCTATGATTTTCTTTTTTCTTTTTTTTTTTTTTTTTTTTTGAGTTGGAGTCTCACTCTGTCGCCCAGGCTGGAGCACCGTAGCATGCTCCCAGCCACCACAGCCTCGACCCACAGGCTCTGGCGATCCTCCCGCCTCAGTCTCCCAAGTAGCTGGAACTGCAGGAGCGCACTTCCATGCCCAGCATATTTTTTCATTTCTTGTAAAGACAAGGTATCACCAATTTGCTCAGGCTGGTCTCAAACCCCCAGGCTCAGGCGATCCTCTCACCTCGGCCTCCCAAAGTCCTGGGATTACAGGCTGAGCCACCGCACCCAGCCCTTTCTATGAATTTCTAAAATCTCATTCAACTACCCCAAAACTGGGTATCGTACTTTTAAGTAGCTCAGAAATGTGCTCTGTAGCACTGACACTTCATATCTCCATAAATGAAAAAGAATGAGGTTTCAAGGAGTCTCACTGATAAACAAGAACACCATACAGGATAGCTATAGATAAAAGTAGTAATCGGTACTGGGTTGGTACCACAAAGATAAAAGAAAGAAGGAAAAGTGAAAAGTGAGTGAGATGAAGGAGACGCAGATAAACATAACCAAAAGAGGGAACGTCTTGGGAACTGACATATTATAATGCAAGCCACCCCAAATTTGGGGGTCGGACTTTTTTTTTCTGCCTTCCACCTTAGCACAGCATCTGGCACTTCCCAGAAACCCAACAAATGCTCTTTATGTTACTGTACAAGGGGACTTGACTTTGTGTAAAGACATTGATTGATTATGACACTGCCTTGATGAACGCTGCGGAAGTAAGAACAAAAATAAGCAGCCCAATTGGAGAGGCACTGCAGAGGTAAACTTGTTAAAATCTGACAACGCAGGGACGAAGATCAGGAAAGAACGAAGAATGACACACAGCTTCTAGCTTCAGACCGGCTAAATCTTTATTCAGTATCACTAAAGCAAATACAGGATACGGCGGAGATGCCTGGAAACACAGAGTTTTGAATGGAACTTAATGTATTTGGGAAACATGTCGTATACCCACAAAGACACATCAAGCAAACATCTGAAAAAGTAGATCTTAAACTCAGGAGAGAGCGCAAAGTTAAGAATTCTAGAGTCAAAAGCATAGAAATTCTAAGTTCAAGGAAGCAAAGGCGGTACCACAGTCAGAGCTGAGTGAGACACCGATAATCATTCTAAGAAAGGCAATCCATAGAAATCCCAGCGTTTGAAGAGGAGTTGGAAAAGTTACAGAAGACGCTAGCAGCTTTGGTTTTTGTCCAGATCGCATTTTACGTTTTTTTCTCCCAAGGCATTCAGGGGAGATGTTTAGGAAAAGTTCGAGAAAGAGTTCACCAACCTCAGGGAAGAGGTGGATGGGGAAGGGAGTAGATTAGGAGTTAGAAATCTTCCTCATTTGGTGGATATGATGGGTCCCTCAGGGAAGCGGTTGGGACAGTAAGTCTGCCTGAGGGAGTAGGTCTGTTTCTACTTCTAAAGACATTTGGAGGTGAACGGAGAAAGCAGAGTAGTTCAGAAAGAAAAGAATTAACATTAGAGCTTCAGGCAATTTCCCACCATTTGGGGGCCTCATTTCCTCGTCTGTGAAATCAGTAGTTGTAACAGAATCTCCATCAGAGTCCTAGCATTGACCAAGCATAGGGCACGGGGTCAGACTTCAAGGGGGATTCTCTGCCTTGTCCCTCACTAGCAGTGGCCCTGGATGTGTCCTTGGTTTATAATTCTGAGGATCACTTCTCTTATCTGAAAAAGGGGGTGCACATAACTATACCTGTCTCACTGTCTCTCACTGGCAGTAGCAGAAGATAGGGATAGAAAGGAGGCGGAGGACTGTCCAAGAGGAGTCTTAGGTGAAAGCATCTGCATCATTCTAGCTATACTGCGGGAATTCGGTAAAAGTTGGCTGGAATACGTACATCGCATACTTTTCGTTGTAATGGTAGCCATAGAGAACACGAACTTGGCAGGGTATAATCAGAAATGAGGAATGTTTTTCTTTAAAGGTTAATGAAGATCTTTAGCATAAGCCTATTACTATCATAAAAGGCAAGGAGCAAGAGGCCTAGGGATATGGCATCCAAAAATACTTCCTGAATATTAAGATAATAAAACTTTTTGAAGAGCTGCATTAGGTGTTTCTAATTAAACCTGTAAAATATGTATGGCTGAATACCTTTATCGGTCACTTTATAGCCGGCCTTCTTCCATTTTAAACATAATGGCCTCACACATCATTATGACCAGAAAACCTATAAGCCTACACACACTGAAAATCTGGAGCATGAAGGCTATACTTCTGGTTAAAATTTAGGTCTGAAATTAAGAATTTCTGAAATTAAGAATAATATGGTAAATAAAATTAAAAGTTAGAAAAGTCCAACTTCGAACATTCCGCTCATTGTGACGTTGATCATTCTTATGTTACCCAAATAAATGCGAAATCCCATTAATATGAAAAATACTGTGAAATAAAACCTGAATCAGAAATCAACTTTGGGAGGATAATACATGTGTTATGCAGTGAAAATTAATCACAGCACCAGTAAGAACTGAAAACAAAAGGCAATTTGTTTTAAATAAAACCCTTGAAGGATGGATCTCCTAAACAGTGTCAAAATCAAGAGAAAAATGTATATACATGTCATTATTCCGAAGAAAAATATAAGGCATATCCCAAAATCAGCAGTAAAGAAAAGCAGGCTTGTAAAGCTTTCAAAGTTGACCTGACCAATTTTAAAAAAATTTCTCTTGCTCCAAGGAGAGATTTAAATGATCTTTACGTAAGTCATATTAATTTACCAGTTTAAAAAAGAAATGTAAAACCATCTCCGCTAACTGTTTTCAATGGGAAGGTCAAAGCCACCCTTGACGCCACATCTCTGTTGTCAAACATGTCAGATTATTACCATTAGCAGCTCAGCAGGCAACCCCTAAGCAGAGCATTACCACACGGATCTTGCGTGCAAAATATCTTCCAAAGAAATGCAGCATTGATGAGTTTTATCTCTTCAGGCCTCTTCCCGTCACTCTCCTTTTTAAAATCGTTTTCACTGTGGCAATTTACAAATTAGAGGTCATGACAATGAAGTTCTTTGCACACGCTCATCTTGGGGGTCTACACGCAAACTGTGTGAGTCCTGCCATTACTGTGCCTCCCTTGTATGTTGGATGAAAGTCATAAATGAAACATTCTTTATATCCATTGTCTTACTAGACTCTGGTGTGCTCTTGGAGCTATGTCTGTCGCCATGTTTCCTGGTTTGGGGCCCCTCCCCTTCCTTGGGGAAGTGAATCTCCTCTTTCTCTAATTTACTTTCTAAATAAACTATATTTTCTAATCTAAAAAAAAACAAATAGAAAACATTATTTATGTCAAGCCAGGAATAACAACTTTAAGCCATAAATAAAAAGTGTACTTAGCACGATTGCAGATCTTAATCCTCACTGTGTTTCCCAAAATAGCGTCGAGTAAAACTCGAATTTGTGGATATAATGACACATAGCATGTAGTAAGGAGAAATCATGACACCGACACGAAACTCTGCAAGTGCCACCAGACTATGTGGACCATTGCTTTCCAATGGAATCAAGGTTGCTGATATGAAGACAATATATGGAGGCTTGGACACCCACAGCTACCTATGCCATCAGAAGGAAAACATCTCATCTCTCTGGAAATGTTTCAGTGATGAAATCAGTCGGCTTTGCAGAGTAGGATACATGTTCATGAATTAATAATCTGGGGCATTGTTATTTAACTTAAAGTCTTTTAAAATTTTTAAATGCAAAACTCACAGCCATAGCAAATAAAAATGGACACTTGATTATTCTTCTCATCTTAGCCTGCCCTCACACCTTGAAGAAGTTACTGAATCTTGCTAAGCTTCCGTGTCCTCTTCTCAAAATAGAGATAATAATAGTTACCTCATAGAACAGAATGTAAAATGCCCAGCTCAGTGCATAACACACAGCAAACATTTAATAACTGTTAACCACGATTGCTACAATTACATGACTTTTGCTCTTTCTGCAATCACGTTTTACACTTGTTTTTTGTACTTTTCAACCATTTATTCCAATCTTATAAATTTGTTATGATGATGAAATAAAATACTATATGACGCTTTTAACAGTACTTGACATACATGCTACAAAATGTATGTGCTATAATCATTGTGGCTGAAACTCTCCTATTTGGTTTTGGAATGCGACATTCGACTTTTCCTCTTCCCAGTTTTCTGGTCACTCAATAGCTTTCATCTTTGGTTCCACTCCCTGCTCCCAAATGCAGAAATAGACTTCGGTCCCCTGGTGTCTGTCATTGTGTTAACTCACAGAGTTACTGGTCATACACTCATCCCTTTGGCCAATACACTGGCAAAGACGCCATATCCTCAGAGCTAGCTTCACACCTGAGCAACAGCCTCATCTTTCCAGCTGCCATCTGAACCTCAGGACCTTAATGACCCCTTGTCACCTGCAAGATGTTCTGTTAATGTAACTCATCTTAGTGCCAAGTCCACTTTTCCTCTGGGATTGCCTGTTAGTCAATTGATGAAGAATCATTCTCAAATATTCCCTTTCCTTCTCCCTCGACAGTTATTCACTAAATCCCAAATATTTTTCTTTGCCTGTATATGCTTATATGTCTTTGGCATCTGACTCTCTCCACTGGTGTCCCAGTTTCATCGCCTAACACAATGG